ACAAAGAAATTGTCTTATTCACTTGTGAGTTTCTCTTTTGGGAATGGGGCAGACTTTCTGGCTTCTTCATGCTGAACAGGGGCATTGATGTGAAGCAGGAAAGGGAGCCCACTTTAACACCTTACTGGTGGTCCTGGGTTGAAGCTGCATGCCTTCTTGTTCTGTTAGAAGATATTTTCCTGACGTTTACTGCCCTCTGTTCTACAAAGTGTTTGCCAAAGTGGGTCCAGTGAAGATGGCTGGCTGAACCTTGAGGCTCCATCCTCCTTCACTTCCTTAGCTGGCAGTTGTATTTCCCTTTGCATCTGGAACTGGGTTCAGGTCTGAAGTAAAACTCAGTGTTAAGATTACCTATAGGAAAGGGAGAAAACACAGAGAGAACAAACTTGTGACTTACAAATAGAAGGGCTTTGCAGGTGTTACTTACAGTTGTGCCATGTTCCTTCAAGAATTCACGCCCTCTTGATGTTGAGCTTCAGTCCACACTGATGACTAGAAGTCGACTGCCTGGCTGTTTGGGAATATATAAATTGTGTGGCCTGCTTCCATGCAGCTTGCCGAGCCTCCTGCTCCTCACATCGCATTTCTTGCTGCCGCCATCTTGGTTCCGAGAATTTATTTTAGAATAAGTTTATTCTGCAGCAATGTGGAGGCTCCATCATATCAGCTTTGGGGCCTGGCACCTGCCATCCATCCCAGTTGAGGGGATTCTTGGTGTCAGGCCACAGATGCCCCATGGGGCTGCAGTGGTGGCATGCGCTCAGCAGTGGGGGCTGGGAGCTGTGGGACTCACCTATTCTTTTTGCAGAATCTTTGTTCCCTCGATGGTGAGCCTCAATCCATACTGGGGACCAGTAACCAACTGTTTAATTGTTCAGTTATAGATAAACTGAGGACTATGGAGGGCCATGGTACCCCATTTCTATGCAACTTGCTGCTCCTGCAGCTCCTTCCGGTGTTTTCTCCACCACCACCATCTTGGTTCCAGTCCTCTACCATTCTTATTTAAATCTTTGATCCATCCTCAGATCTCCACACTATATTCCATTTCAGACAAGTTCTGATCTGTCTTCTTACATGTCAACATCTCCCAAATTGCATGTCCTATCCAACTTCCCTCTCCAGAAAAACATATCTAATTGCTTCCTGGATCTCTCCATTGCACAGATTCTTTTAAATTATTTGAGTGAAAATTTAAACATCACCTTGGTTTTCCATTGAACCTATTGTTCAGTTGTATTTTGTTTTATAATGTAAGTTACAGTTGATTAATGTAATTAATAAAAAATTATGTCACTAGTCGGTTTGCTGTTCTGTGGAGGCTTGTGGGTTGCTGAGATGTTGGAAGTTTTGCCACCATTATTTCGAAGACCTTCAAGGTTATCCATGGGTTCAGCTGAAATTCCAGACTAAGAAGCAAGACTGGCCATCCACTTCTGAAATCACAGACTCCTGACAACTTTATAAACAACAGAAGAACATTGTTCAATAAAGCACCAGAAAATTAGTTCCTCAGGTTGGACAGCACACAAAATGTGACTGGAGAAAAGCAGAGTCTTTTGCAGTCTGAAATGGATCAAACATGAAATCAAGATGCATTAATAATAATGTTAATGTTGTTATTATTCGTAATAATGTAGAAGTTGGAAACAAAGAAGAAGGACAGGTAGTTATTGAAGAGGCCTTGTTAAGAGAAATGAGGCTGGAGGTTACATGATAGAATTTTTCATATCAATGATTTATTAATTATAAATACTTTTTAAAAAACATAACAACTACTATATATACATGGATTTCACTTGATGGACTATACAGTAGTTAGATTGACTATATTTGTGGAAAGAGACTTCTGAAAAGCTCAATATCAACAGTCAAAACCACGTCAGGACTGACTATGGAATTGACCATCAGGTATTCATAGGCAAGTTCAAATTGGAGTTGAAAAAAATTAAAACAAATACACCAGAGCCAAAATATGAATCATGAGTATGTTCCAAGTGAATATAAAAATCATCCTAAGAATAGATTTAATTCATTAAACACTATATAAACAAAACCAGGCAAGTTGTGGAATGGCATCAAAAACATCATTCATGAAGAAAGCAAAAGGTCATCACTAACACAGGGAATAAAGAAAAGACCAAAATGGATGTGAGAAGAGACTCTAAAATTTATGTTAGAATGAAAAGAAGTCAAAACAAGAGGGGGGGAGAACACTGAGGTAACAGAATAGAACTGAAGATTTCAAAGTACAACTCAAGAAGACAAAACAAAGTATGACAATGAAGTGTGCAAGGAGCCAGAGTTAGAAAACAGAATGGGAAAAGCACACTCAGCATTTCTCAAGCTGAGAGAACTAAAGAAAAAATTCAAACCTTGAGTTGTAACACTGAAGGATGCTTTGGGCAAAATCTTGAATGGTGCAGGATGCATCAAAAAAAGATAGAAGAAATATATGAAGCCACTGTACCAAAAAGAATCAGTCTACATTGAACCAATTCAGAAATTAGCATATGCTCCAGAACCAATAGTACTGAAAGAAGAAATCCAAGTTGCAGTGAAGGTACTGGCAAAAAAAAAAAGTCTCATAGAATTGATAGAATACCGGTTGAAGTGGTTCAGGAAACAGATACAACCCTGGATATGCTCGCCAGTTTCTGCCAACAAATATGAAAGACAACCAACCACTAGGCCAATTGACTAGAAGAGATCCATATTTGTTTCTATTTCTAAAAGAATGTGGAAATAACCAAACAATATCATTAATGTAATTAAAACTTCTTTAAAGAGTATTAACAATTATTAGAACATCAACAAGGAACCTCCATAAATTCAAGCTCAATTCAGAAGAGGGATGGCGCAAGGGATGCCATTGCTGCTATCAGATAGATACTGACTGAAAAAAATTATGACCAACATCATGCATACTGGACCAGGAAGCAGTCATCAGAACAGAGTAAGGAAATTCCACATAATTCAAGATCAGAAAAGGTGTATGTTAGGGATGGATCCTATCTCCATACCTGTTCAATCTATATGCATAACAAATTATTCAGAAGGCTGGACTTTATGAGGAGGAATGTGGCATCAGGATTGAAAAAGACTCATCAATAACCCATATTATGCAGATGACACAACCTTGCTTGAGGAAACTGGGGATGACCAAAAGCATTTGCTGTAGAAGGTGAAGAACTGTAGTCTTCAATACAAATTGAAGCTCAACATGAAGAAAACAAAGATTCGTACAACTGGGCCAATTGGCATCATCATGATAGATGGAGAAGAGATTGAGCTTGTTAACAATTTTAGCTTGCTTGTTTCCACTATGAACACTTTGACATCAGCAGTCAGGATATCAAAAGACAAATTGTATTGGGAACATTTGCTATCAGGAACCTCTCCTGAGTACAGAAAAGCAACAGTGTTAGTCTGGAGACTAAGGTGCTTCAGGCCATGGTCTTTGCAATTACTTTCTCCTCCCCCCATCTTTTTTGTTTGTTTTTTTTAAAAAAAAATTTTTTAATGTAAGTTTACAGAGACTTTGGATTTCCATTCATTTGTTGTTTCACTTTTCTCCCTGCCCACCCCTGTCCCCCAATTCGCTCTTCTCTTTTTTTTTTCTTTGATAAATTTTATTCTTCATATTTGGGGAAGGGTACAGATTCTAGATCACATCTGAGAAATTGTGATACCAGTGAGCTAAAGGTTGCAAGTTGGCTGAGAGAAATAAAAAATGTGAGAAAAACTAGGAGCACCATGTGCGGCTGTTGCTTTTTCTAGAACATTCAGAGAGTTTCTCCAGCCAGTCCTGCTCCAGTTGTCTACATGTACCAATGTTACAGAAACTGAAATGTTTTCTATTTTTTCTATTAAGTCGTTCAAGCAAAGCGTTTCCTATGACTTATTTCTAACACATGAGAAGCAAAAGAAGAAACTAACGGGACATATACACTCATGCTGCTTAGTTCTAATGTCTGTATGAAAGCACATAGAATAATTATCGCATAAAACTTGTATGAACCCCGCAAACTGGCAGTCCTTCGCACTTTAATTTGAGTCTTTTTTGCTCAGTCCTGTCAAGATGCTTTTCAGATTTCAAATATCAGTGATTACTGTCATCATTGTGCCTCAAGAAGTTAATAAAATACATTTTTTTAATATTCCAGTTACATTCTAATCAAAGGAGGGGAAAAAACAGGAAATATTATCTTGCACATCTTTTTCTTTTCCATCCTAACAATGAAAATGAGCAGTATCAACAAAACTCAAGTTTAGCTTGTTTGTTTTGCTTTCTTTTTTAATATTGGAAGGTACAAAGCTGTAATGGCCTTCTAGAACACTAAGTTTGAAACAGATATTTGTTTGTGAAAGCACATAACTAGTATTTTAAAACTTTATAAAAATTTGACAGAATAGTCTCCTAAACAGCAATCTTTATGTCTGTAAACAAAGTATAAACTGGCTTATCCAGTTTCTGCAGCTTGTCAGTCGGCCACCAAAGTGACAGAGATCATCTTTAATTTTAAGATTATCCATAAAAACTAATTTATACTCCACACACTGCAAACCTAGGGGATAGTTTTGGGAGAAGAATGTGGGAGGGGACAAGAAACGGGCTGTCATCTACTTTGTCAGTCTTCCAAGTGTTCATATTACCAACACTTAACAACTACTTTTTCCTGGAACACCATTTTTGCTATACTAGTCATAATTATTTTATTCCTTTAAAGAAATAAGTGTAATCTCTATTTCATATCGGTTTTCATTCACACACTTGAAACTTCAGACACAGTTGTGGGGGAGGGTGTTTCCTGTCATTTCTGCAGTCTTCTCTCTGAAACATCAGAGACAGTAATAGCTTAGCCTATACATGCATGCTGCCAGAGTAGCTGGATGGGACGTGCACCCCCTATTTCAGATACACAAACAAAAAGTGGGTCTGGGCAAGGGCAAACTGCAACTGAATTTCTGCTGGAACCCTAGCACCAGGCCAGTGACGTTTACTCCTTCACTTTGCTGATAAAGTCAGTGAATCTGCTCACATTCTCTTCCTGCTGCTCCAGCGCATCCAGGACAATGCCCATCGGCGTCTTCTTCAGCCCTATCCCCTCCATTTTATTCTCAAGCTTGTTCTTGAGGTTCCGAAGCCTGAGAGACGCGTGGATGAACATCAACAGCAAAGGGAAGGTGATGCCAAACACAAAGACCATGACTCCCCCAAACATGGATATGAGGAAGTAGCTAGACACCATGACGATCAGCACGAAGGTGGTGGGGTACTCCTTCTTCAAGCGCCGGAGGATGTCTTTATTGTGGGCTGCCCACACAAAACCTGTGAACACCAACACCACCACGATTCCTCCAAGGATCATGTTGAAAGGACTCAGGGACCCCACGACAGAAATCAACATGGCAGCCACCACCAGGTAGTTGGTCTGGTAATAGAGCAAGTTGCTCACCACGCGGTTGTTCCATTTGGAAATGTCTTTGAAATCCGGGCGAGCGAAGTGGTCGGAGCCGGGGAAGAAGTCGTCCCAGCTGCGGAGAGGAGCGATCTGCACGTCCATGGTCCTCGGCTCCGGTCTTCGCCTCCCGCTCTTCTCTTTAAAAAGTAAAAGAAAAATTCTTTCACTGTTATGCAATCCCTCCCTTCAAGTTCACTCCACTATGCAGCCTTCATTCTGGACTCCTGTCATGACAATAATAACTAATCAATAACAACTAATTCCTTTTAAACAGTTCTCTCCCTCATCTGTTTCAATGCAGCATACATTATTTATCCCCTCTTTCTCAGTCTCCCCTCAACCCAGATGTCAGTCCATTTTACAACAGTGGCACTATGCAATATTTGTCCTTTTGTGACTGAGATATTTCACTCAGCATAATGTCCTCTAGGGTCACCCATTTTGTATAATATTTCATGAGTTTCTTGTTTTCCAATGCAGCATAGTATTCCATTGTATGAACATACCACAGCTTCTCTATCCAATCGTTTGTTGATGGGCACTTGGCTTATTTCCAACTCTTTGCTATTGTGAACAAAGCCACAATAAACATAGATGTGCATATATCTGCTTGGGTGGCGGTTATGACTTCTTTAGGGCATATTCCCAGTAGTGAAATTGCTGGATCCAATTTTATTTCTATTTGCAACTTTTTGAGAAAGCAACATACAGCCTTCCATAGTGGTTACACCGTTTTATACTCCTACCAACAGTGAATAAGCGTTCCAGTTTCTCCACAACCTTGCCAGCATTTTATATTTACTATTCTGTTAAATTGGCTATTCTTACTGGGGTGAGATGATATCTCTCAGTTATTTACAATTACTTTCTATCTATCAGAGAGCTGGATAATGACTAAAGCTTATAGAAGAATAGATGACTTTAAATTGGTTCTGGAGAAGAGTGTTGAACCATGGACCATCAAGAGAACAAACAGGTTTGTCCAAGCTACCCCTTGGAGGCAAGGATTTTTAGAAGGGTGGAGGCACAGTGCAGGAGAGGAAGACCCTGTATAAGATGGATTGACTCAGTGACTGGGGTAATGAAGGTAGGTGTGTTGGAAACAATGAGATTGACTCAGAGTGAGGCAGAGTTCAAAGCTATTGTGCACAAGGTCACTATGAGTTACAGGCAACTGATGACACACAACAACAAGGTACACAGTTCAAAACCACCAGCTTCACCATGAGAGAAGGCTAGGTAATTTCCTCCTGTGCCATTTACTGCCTCTGAGAACATGCTGTTGGGTCAGCTATGGTTTGATTACTACTCAACAGAACATAACAATAGCTGATTAGGGAGCTCTAGTGGCCTAGTGGGCAAGGAGTTGATCTACTAACTCAAAGATTGTTGTTGTTGTTGTTGTTGTTGTTGTTGTTGTTGTTGTTGTTGTTAAGTACCATCGAGTAAACTATGACTCATAGTTACCCTGTGAACAGCAGATCCCTGTCCTATCCTGTGCCATCCTTATCATTACTGACACAGTTAAGCTCATCGCTTCAGTCACTTTGCCAATCCATCTGGTTGAGAGTTTTCCTCTCTTTTGCTGACCCTATATCTTTCCAAGCATGATGTTTCTCTCCAAGAAATATCCTTTCCTAGCAACATGCCTAAAGTAGGAGAAGAAACTTTGCCATCCTTGCCTCCAAGGAGCACTCTGGTTTACTTTCTCCAAGACATATCTGTTTGTTCTTTTGCCAGACCATGGGATATTCCGTACTCTCCTCCAACACTACAACTCAAAGGCATCAGTGCTTCTTCTATCATCCTTATTCATTGTCTCACTTTCAGATGCAAAGCAGGTGGTTGAAAAGAAGATAGCTTGAATCATTTGCAGTTTAACCTTTAGGCTGACATCACTGATTTTCAGTACTTTGGAGAGGTCCCTGATGATAGTAGACTTTCCCAGTGAAATTGGGATTTAATTTTTTTAAGAGATACAATCATCTAGTTTGCTTAATTTTTTTTTTCTTTCATTGAAAAACCCTAGAAACTCACATGTAGACAGTTCAAGTTTAACAGTTACTGTTAGAGAAAGATGGACAATGTCTTCCTGTGTGATTCCTGGCCTCTGGAAGATCAGCTGTAAGTCAGTTACAACTTGAGGCCACATATCAACAATAACAACAACAACAGCTAATTAGGAAGCACGAACTGTAGGAAGTTGCACTGCTAACTCAAAGGTGGTACCTATCTGTTCGTCAAGTCTTTCAGTGGCTCAGTGAACAAAGATAGGCAATCTTCTCGCTGGAAGGTAAGCTATGTGTCACTTATAACTCAGTGGCAGTGAATTCTGTTAAATAAATAATTATCAAAAAATGTTTGGAACAATATGTCAACTGAGAACTGCCAGATGTGCAGGCTGGATTTAGAAGAGGTCGCGGTACTAGGGAGATTATAGCTAATGTAAGATGGATCTTGGCATAAAGCAGAGAATACCAGAAGATTGTCTATCTGTGTTTCATTGACTATGCAAAGGCTTTTGACTGCATGGATCACAACAAGCTATGGCTGACTCTGAGAAGAATGGGAATCCCAGAACATTTGATTGTGCTAATGTGAAACCTATACTTGGACCAGGAGGCAGTCATCAGAACAGAGCAGGGAGACACTGGATGTTTCAAAATCAAGAAAGTGGTCCGTCAGGGATGTATTTTGTCTCCATACCTTTTCAATCTGTATTCAGAACAGATCATCCGAGACGCTGTACTCTACAAGGAGGAATTGTACAAGGAGGCATCAGGATTGGTGGAAGAATCATCAACAACCTGCATTATGCAGATGACACAACCCTGCTCGCTGATCAGCTGTGAGGGACCTCTCAAGAATACTGAAGTGCAACGACATCAGGCTGGACTAAGGTGCGCCTGATCGAGTCTATAGTCTTTGCAGTTACATGCTATGCATCGGAGAGTTGGACAGTGAATAGGGATGCTAGAAAGAGAATCCATGCCTTTGAGTTATGGGGATGAAGAAGAGTGTTGAATATACCATGGACTGCTAGGAGAACAAACAGGTTTGTCCTGGAGAGGGTGAAGCCAGAATGTTCCCTGGAGTCAAGGATTCT